ACGTCCTTCCCCGCATGGCTGCCATAATCTGCTGACCGTTGTGTCCTGTAGAGGACACTGAGATAGACATTGGCCTTTGCTGCTGGCAAAATATTTTTTTTAAAATTGCACTGGCACAGATAAACATTAACACTGACTTGAAACAAAAAAGGTAGAAGTAGTATGCTTAACATTAATTATGGTTCAAGAGCAAAAGAAAAAAACAACACGATTACAGTGAGCTTTAGAGATGCCATACTTTTCGTGATGACACCGTGCATAGACAACATTATGGCCTTCAAGAAATTCCTATACGTGAAAGACAACATCACAACCAGATGTGGCACAGGTAGGAAAGTATGGCACACAGGGAGATCACAGTTGACTGGCGCATGCTGGAGGCTGAGTCTGGGACTGGACAAAACTGTTCCTGTTTGGCTCCCAGAATCCCATTCTTGTACTTCGTGTCACAGTAGTCGAAGTGACGACACGAGCAGCTGACCACTGCGTCCAGGAACAATTTAGCGGTGTCGCCCCCGCCCTTCTTGAAGCGATCGACCATGTAAGTACCGATGTCGCCCTGTAGAGAGGTCACGTCAGAGTTGAGCCTTACTTCAATGCATGTAAGTTTTAGAAAGGTTTTATGGCACTCACAACTGCGTAAGGTCATACGAGCGCCAAGGGGTGGGTGTCAACAGAGAAGTCCAAACGATGAATCAGGCTTCCTCTGCTCACCTCTCTAGCCTCAAAGCACAAAATTTGCTTCGACTATCATGGCACCCCCGAAGTAGCAGTTCTCAAGAGAGTGACAACATACCAAAGAAGTAGAGGAGAAAATGAGGATAGTAAGGATGAGGAAATAAAAATCACTAGTTCCCCATATGTTGTTCCGGCACAGTATGAGCATGACATTGATAAATCAGCCCATTTACAATTCTACTGTGCACAAGAACATGTTAATAGACCCCCCCCCCCCTTTGGGAATGGCCTAAAGGCAACATCAGTCAATAGCACTGCCCTGGTGGGGGGGGGGGACCTTACTATAAGAGACAACATTAACTTGGAAGTACATGTGCAGTCAAAATGGTTCAAGGAGGCCCCACCCATTTGAGAGTCCTAGCGAGGAGAAAAGTGATTGTCTTATAAGGCAGGTGAACGTCTTGGATTGTGTCGTTATGATGCAGAAAAAAGAGGTGGGTTGGGGTTGTTTGTACAAGTGATGGTCTAGGACAGGTGGCCGTTGGAGTAGTTTAGGCCAGTGGGGTGGGGGGAGGGGGCATTCTCAAAGCGAACTCTAAACCAAACCCTTTAACCATCACCTTAACCACTGAGAGGTACTGGTTAAGATCATTCTAAAGCCAACCCGGATGCCAATTACGGAATTTTCATATGAATGGCGTATTGTTACTCTAACAAGCGTTACATAAATTTTTAAAATAACTATTTCATCATCATCATCATCATCATCATCATCATCATCATCATCATCATCATCATC